AGACTGTCATCTAGAGTTTCATCCTCAAAGAATTTTCTGACTAGTTGGCAAACCGATTCCCTCACTATCCGCCAGTTTCGTTGAAAAAAATTGCATGCATGTCGTCTGCCCCTGGTGGTTTCTATGGATTCATCTCTAGCACTACTCTCTTGATTTCCTCGTTAGTGACTGACAATGGTCGTGCTTCATTGATTTTTGGCTCAATAATTGGAAATTTCCTTGCACCTCACACCCATGTCCGTTTACACCCGAACCAGTGAAAAGATTTTGGTAATATTCAACCGCCATTGCTTTCAATTTCTCCCGATCAACGCACCATGTTCCTTCTGCTGTTTTAAGCACCACAATCGTATTTTTTCGTCTCCTGTTCATAGTGGAAGCATGGAAACATTTGGTATTCTTATCTCCATGAAGATCCATTTTTGTCTTGCCTTTTGGAACCAAAGTTTTTACTCCTGTTCCAGTATAATGTCGAGTTCTATTTTCAATTATTTTTCAAGCTCAATTAGAAAGTCTGAATGTGCTTTGTCCAATGTTTTCTCTATGTCTTTCAACCTTGCGAGCAACTCTTTTTTCTTCCTGTCGATGTCCCAAAAGGTTTCTTAGTTGCAAATTGATACTTTAGATTTGAATTCTTCCACATTTGTTATTGTGTCCTTATTGTTGTCCAGATTGTTTTCCAAGAACTCCCTGAAAAGAAGGTGATCGTTCTACGAGGCTATGAAGCAGAATGAGTGGTTTGTTTGTTCATTCTCTTCTTTTTTTTGTTTGGAGGATTATTGGACGATGGTCTGACCCCATCCTATCAAGATGTGTAACCAAAGAATTTGGATATTGTTTGAGCCAACCCTCGTTGGTTAAGTATCTATCCAATCTTTGATACAAATTGCCTCTTTGCCAAGTGAATTTAGGACCTACAAAACGAACGTCATGTAGTCCCAGGTCAAAGACGAAATCCGCAAAAGCTTTGCTTGTCCCATTTCCTCGTGGGGATTCACCCCTTATTTCGTCCCAACTCAAAATTGCATTGAAGTCACCTCCTAGAACCCATGCTTCATTACTAGTAGGATCAAGTTGTTTTAGTTTATCCCAGAGTAATTTTCTTCACTCTACTTGTGGGCTTGCATAAACTGTAGTAAATACCAACCATTTATTGCTTTCTTTTGTTTTTCATCTTCCATGTACAAATTGGTTGGCTACTTGTTGTATTTTCATATCTATATTCTCCCTCAAAGTATCTAGATACCACCACTGAATCCTTGTGCTTCAACTTGAAAGGAGTTTGCGAAGCCTAATTTCTTGATAACGTCTTCTGTTGTTTTTTTATTGGTTCTGGTTTCTGTTAGTGCCACCACTTGTGGTTTGTTTCTTTGGATCATGTTTTTGAATATTCTTCTAAACGAATGGCCAGCCACTCATTGGTAATTCTAAAATAGTAACTTAATCATTAAAAAAATTGTTTATGGATGCATTATCTGCTTTTCTACGTCACAAATGTCTTCTATCTTGAACCTTGACTTCCACCAGTTCACTATCCTGCCTTTCATGATCCAAACCCTCAACACTTGTGTTTTCCTTGAATTTTTCCAATTCGCTGATTTTTGGACTTGTGGTGTCGTAGCTCGGAGGTATGAGGGAATTCAACCGGTTAGCTACTAAATCCACCCAGTCCGTGATTTTGGGTTTATTCGGAGGCCGTAAGTCATAATACTTCCTAATTTTTACCCCTCATTTTGAGTCTTCGTTGTTTGATCGAATAGGACCTCCTGCTCCTAAGTTTTTCTTTCATTTTTCTTCTCCTTTAGCACCGCCACCCTTTTCTAATATTGCTATCACAATATGTTTGCTCTCTCCCCTTGTTATTTATTGTATTACCACCTCGGGTATTTGTCCCTCTCGGCTTTGCACCACCTTGATGCTTTATAACATAGACTCTTCTTGTTTTCTCACGTGTTCCTTTACGGATGTTTCTATGTTTTGTTCAGGTCTAACTTGGCTTTTACCGGCATGAGTATGGTTCTCTATATCTATTACTTCAATATTTTCCTTTTGATTTGTGCATTCTAGGTTCTGTTTCTTCGTAATGATCTTTGGCGTCTGTTTAGGTTTGTATTTCCCTTGATTCTTTCCTTTTTCTCCCCTGATTACTACTTGTTTTCCTTTGTCATGTTAGTTTTTGTCCTCCAAAATCGGCACCTCTTCTGTAATTTATTGTTGTTCTGGTTCACCTGTGTGTTCATTTCCCTGTAAGACTGCAAACCTCGATCATTTGTTGCTGTGAACATTGGTATTGACAGCTTCTTTTGGTGGTCAGCGACGCTTTGTTTCCGCCACCATCCATGGACCATACATGTCCTCCTGTTGATTGTTTTCCAGTCTTTGTTCCGGTTGGTTATGTTGATGATTCTCTGGAGTGCTCATTCCTTCTTTTTGGGCAGGACCCATCAGATGATCAAGTGATGGACAATGCTCATTTGTGTGTCCATACAAGTTGCAGTTAAAGCAGATAAGTTGAAGACCTTCATATTCTAATTTTTGGATGAAGTCGTCGATTCCTATGTACGGTAGTAAGGGTTTGTTGAGGCCTATCAGAATAGCTAATCTTGTAAACCTGCCCCGTTCACCCTTGCTCGTATTGTAATCTACCTTCACAACACTTCCTATCATTGAGGCAATTATGTTGAATAACGATAGTCTAATCTAAACCACTACGTGTGAATTATGCTTTTTCAGAGTAGAGAATGAGTGGCTTCATAGTTGTACCGTAAGGTTGCTGCCATAAATTGTTTAGGGGCCTTCCATTAATACCTTAACGTAATCTTCCTCGCATTCTAATCTAATGATGAAATAATTGTTCTCTAGATCCATCAGTTGGAATCTCCCTTGTGGTTTCCAGAGAGTTTGTATTCTTGATTCTAATGCCTTGAATCCTATAGCCCTACCAAGAAGGCATACTATCACTGACTTCTGCATGTTTTTATCGATTAAACTATGTATGCACTCCGAAAATCTAATCAGGGGATATTCCACATTCTTTTCGATAATGTAATCACATTCGTTCAAAACAATCTCGTCTTCTTCTAGCATCGAACAAGATGTTACTCTAAACTTGGAGCTCCCGATTACCATAGCGGCATGTGATTTCCTTCCTTCTATTTGATGTATGATTGAGATAAGGTCATCAATCTTGTTGGTCTCATGGTGAAGTTCAATGATATTATCTTGCATGGGTACGCCACCATCCTTCCCTCATGTAAACACGTCCTTTAGCACTCTCTCCTTCTCGCTGATTAAGCTCATCTCCACCTCTTGTGATGGGATATCCGGTGGCCTGTCGCTCCCGGTATGGAAATCTTCCGTAGGTTTTCTGTGGTTACTCCCACTAGGGTTTCCATCATATTGATACACTTTTAAAAATTTAAAATTTGAATGTAAGGTTATTAGCAACAAAGGATGATACAAAAAGATAGAGTATGTAAAAAAAACCCATTAATTATTAATTAATATAGTAACGTGAAGTATTGAATCTCTTGAGTAATATAGAAGGTTTAAATTTAAACATTATAAGTAAACTAAATCGAGTTAAAAAAATTATCCGCTTAACGAATTCATATTTATGGTATACTTGAAAATTTTGATTCGAATCTGATTATTTAAATTGATTTATCTGATCCGAGACTTGATATAGATTCAAACATAATGACCCAAACTCTCCAAAATTTGAAAGAAACTAAATTGAAACAAAAGTGAACGAACATTTTATTTTTATTAATATATGATTTTAATAATATGATAAATAATAAAATGATGAATGTTTTATTTTTAAAAGTGATTGGTATGAAGGAATTATAAAATAAAATAATCCGGTACCCAAAATTGTAATTTATTTAATTAATATAAATTGACATCACTTAAACAATATAATATAATTAGCTTAATAATATTTTTTTACAGACAAAATAACATAAAATAAAAGTCTCAAATAAAGAGTTTCATTCAAAAGTTATATTTAACTATAAATTAAGTCAAATATGTAGATTCAATTACCTGTACATATAAAACTCAGTTGCATTCGGTTTATTAATGAAACTTTAAAAATCAATTAAGTGATTTCAAAAAGCCAAATTCTACCCTATTCGATCGATTTCAATAGTAAAACTATAATATATATATTCGAGTTGGGTTAGAATTTTTTTACCTCAAATATGATCTCGAGTCTATTATGGATGTTTTTACCTTAAATTTAACTTGACATTACTAATGGAACAAATTAAATTAAAAGAGTTATCTTTATAAACGATAATAAATTTACATAATATTTAATTTAAATTAATTATCAATAAATCATATTTTAACTATTAAACTATAAATAAAATTAGTTGACCCTATTTCCCATATGTAATAGAGTAGGAGGGAGGTAGGATAGTAGGTTGTCTCCAATACCAGTATGATACCTCTTAATTATGAAATGTCTTCCGTGGGACTTGATCTCACGACCCCAAAATTAAGAACCTTGTACTCTACCAAACATTTCTAACTATTAAACTATAGAGAAAATAACCTCAGTGATCAAAAATGCCTTATAATATATGATTTTAACCAATTTTTTTTTTGATTTGCCAAAATGACCAACTAAATCGCAATGCGATCGATAATTCGCAACGCGATCTCGGGTATCGCCAAAATAAAATTCCCCATTTTATTTAACTGACATTTGTTAAATTAGATAATTTTAACGGAATACATCATTAATTTAGAGTAAATATGATCATCAAATATTAATACCAAAGAGTACAGCAAATATTCTCCATAACGAGCTCTTAAATAAGAGGTCAGGTGCTTAACATTAAGCCACCTTTGATAGTTGAATCAAGGCAAGAATTTAAATTATGACCAACGATTTACTTTTAATACCCCAATTTTAATAAAAATAAAATATAACAAAATCAAAACGATAGAAGTGATGGTTTGAATTAGCAATAAAAATGATTTTCTACGGGGAAGAGAGAGAGAGAGAGAGAGAGCAGAGCATTGAAAGTCTCCTGCTTTCGCAAAACAAGATCATATCAGAGTATCCAGAAACAATAAATAGCAATTAAATTTAGTTGGCTCTTTGATTTAAGGAGCTGTTTCACACATTTGTTTATCGTTCTTTTGATCTTGCTTTTATAACCTACTTCTTCCCCAACTCTTTTTTCTTATATTTACCTACTTTCATTTTCTCTCTCTCTCTTAATCTCTCATTTTCCAACTAATCCTTTTATATAAAGGGTGTTTTCTTATTCATTAAAAACCCTACCTTTCCTGGAAAATTTCTCGACTTTCTTCCATTTTCCGTCAGAAATGCCCCATAAGCTTCCGGAGTTGTGTTAAAAGAGAATTCCAACTTTTTTTGAGCGATGGGTAATAGCTTGATTTGCAGGGCAAAGAAAGACACGAAAGATAATGGATCGAGAAGCAAGAGAATGGGAAGGTCTCAAAGAAAAATGCTTGCAGAAGAAGAGTTCTTACATAAGCAAGCTTTGTCCATGGCTCTGCATCAGCACCAACTGTCTCAGAGATTTGATGGATCCATGTCTAGGAGAATTGGCTCTACCAGCTCCAGAAGGCACACTGATCCATTAGCCAATAATGAAAAAAAGGTGGATTTGTTTTTATTTTTAAATAACAGGATTAAACTACTTATGTTTGCTTTCCTAACTGTCTTTCAAATGTAATTATTATGTTACTGTTTTAATTGACTGGATATATGATGAAATAGTGTGATTTTATGATTGATTGAAAAACTTGAAAAACAATATTAGTCGATGGTCAAGCTGGTAACAAAAGGGGCAATAAGCTTTGCTTTTGCTTTTCATCAGAAAACAAAGGAGAGCCTGCCAAAACATTAGTTAATTCACTGTGCTTTTAGCATTCTGCTATTTTATATATCCAAGTTAGTTCTTGAGTATTAGTGCAATTTTAATTGAGAAAATAAAGGGATCTATTCTAGTTTATTTTTTAGCAAAATTTAACGAGTTTCACGATATGCACTTTTTGTTCCGATCTCTGTAAAGTTTAAGACTTTATAAGCCCTCAAAATCTTTTTATTTTATTTTATGAAAAGCAATCAAAAGCATGTTTTATTCTATTGTGCTGTGAAGATATGGATGTGGATCATGGTCCATTAAGGCTGGTGAAAAGATCAGTGCTAAATTTCTTTGTATAACATTTTAAACCTTATAACTCCTTTCTATAATAAACTTATGTCTGATACTATATCATGTTATCTGCAGGTACTGGAATCTCTTGAAAATATCAAGTTCAAGAAGATTGTTCTGCTACATGGGGAAGGCTTTGGAGCTTGGTGTTGGTATAAAACGATTGCTCATTTGGAGGAAGTAGGCCTTCAGCCTACTGCATTGGATCTCACGGGTTCTGGTATTAATCTCACGGATACAAACACGGTCACTACATTGGCAGAATACTCGAAACCATTGATTAAGTATCTAGAGAACCTTCCTGAAGATGACAAGGTAAGAGGCTACAGTTGATACTGCCAAAGCTTTTCCATCTTGTTATGTTAAATTGTCTTGATTAATGAACTATACATGCAGGTTATTTTGGTGGGTCATAGCAGCGGAGGCGCTTGCCTTTCTTATGCTTTGGAGCATTTCCCAGAAAAGATCTCGAAAGCCATTTACCTTTGTGCTACAATGGTGTCTAACGGTCAGAGACCTTTCGACGTGTTTTCCGAAGAGGTATTTTGTCGATGCCTGGCTGTCTTATCTAAGTTCCATTAGACGATTTCTTTCGGAATACACTGAATTACTTTGCCTGTTGTATGAGCATTCATGCTACCATTCCCTTATGTTATCTAGACCCGAGGAGAACAATCATCACACGTAGTTATTTTTTGTCATGGACTGATATCAAACAAAAACTGTTTATTGCAGCTTGGTTCTGCTGAACGATTCATGCAAGAGTCACAGTTTTTGATTCATGGAAATGGCAAAGATAAGCCTCCTACAGTGTTCATGTTTGAGAAACAGCTGATGAAAGGGTTATATTTCAATCAATCGCCTACGAAGGTACGTTAACTTCGGTCATCTATGAGCACTGCTCGGACTATACGGTTAGGATTCATTGTTCTTTTTCTTCCTTTCTTGCAACAGGGCAATTGTCCATGGCCATTTTGGAGCCAATATATGTTGTATACGTTATCTGCATTTTGGTTATGAAAATGTAGCCCTATTTACAACATGGTATTTGGTTCCTTCCAGGATGTCGCTTTGGCCATGGTGTCCATGAGATCCACCCCACTAGGACCTATCATGGAGAAACTGTCATTGAGCCCCGAAAAATACGGAACCGGGCGGCGCTTCTACATTCAGACATTGGACGACCGTGCTCTTTCGCCTGACGTGCAAGAAAAGCTAGTAAGAGAAAACCCACCCGAAGGAGTTTTTTAAGATCAAAGGGAGTGATCACTGCCCATTCTTCTCGAAACCGCAGTCACTTCACAAAATTTTAATAGAAATTGTTCAGATTCCATAGCTCATTTTCAGATAAAACAAAGGAATATCTCTTTAATCATTTTATTTGTGTGATTGGAAGAAGACAGTTGTAAGCTTGTTCATTTACACGTCTTTTATACTTGTGATGACGCTGTTCTTGTATGTAGAACATTAGGCCCACCTTTCTCCCCTTGCAACTTAGTGATCAATTGAAGTGGTGATTACAAAATGGTACAACTGATTACATATTGATATGATATATACCTATATAACACTAATATATATATATATATATAATTGTCTGAAAATCGAATTTAAATTCAACGTGAATCAATAAAGCTTTTTTTTTTTGGGATAATTCAACGAGCAACATGAATATTATTCATACAGTGCTGTCCACATTTCGAGGTTTTCAGATTACTGGTCTTTGGTCTTTCTTTCTCTAATCCGCATAAGGAAAAGAAGAAATCAAATAGCACAATTGAGAGCAGGGAAAAAGCCTTTATCGAATCCTATTCAATTTCCTAATTAGTCTCGATAATTTCGGTCCTTTCATTCCTGACAGCCCTGCTTCAAACAACCGACCAAGCAAAGAGATCGATCTTAAACCTCGAAATTCAATCAAATGTTTTTTTTTTGGTCCTTTTTATTTTATTTTACTTCTAAATTGATTCCAGCAGGAGAGCAGCTGAATCGTACTGGAGATCGCGGATGATCGACGGAGCAACCTCGGATGAAGATAAAGTAACGCCTGTTTATAAGTTAGAAGAGATCTGCGAGCTCTCGAGATCATCGCATGTTAGTATTGTTAAAGAGGTGTCAGAGTTTATCTTGAAACGACTAGATCACAAAAGTCCTATTGTCAAGCAGAAGGTAATTTGATTCAATTTGCTTTGAATTTTCTTTTTGGTTTGGTTGAATTATGGAACATTGGAATCCATACTGTTCTAATCTATCTGTTGTTTTAGCTGTTTTTTTTTCCTGGGGAAGTTTTTAAAAATTGAGAACTTCAACTCAATTTTAGTTAAGGTGTAAGTAATGGTCATAAAATTTTAGCGAAGTTGTTAAATATCAGTACCAAAGTATCATTTTGTTTTTGCATATAATCGTAACTAAGAGAGAGTCTATAAAAAAAATAGCAATTTTAGGAGCCTAAGATCCTTTTAAGGCGTAGATGTTTCGGCAAGTAAATGTTGCATGTTTAATGTGTAGGCAAGTTGTTCCATAATTTTGAATTATTCAAACGTGATACTCAGTGGGTGGTGGGATTTTTGCAGGCTTTGAGGCTGATAAAATATGCGGTGGGAAAGTCTGGTGAGGAGTTTAGGCGAGAGATGCAGAGGAACTCAGTAGCTGTACGCCAGTTATTTCATTACAAGGGGCAGCCGGATCCTTTGAAGGGGGATGCACTTAATAAGGCTGTGCGGGAAACAGCTCACGAGGCCATTTCTGCTATATTTGCAGAGGAAAATAATACTAGTAAGCCTCCTCCAGCAGATGACTTTAACAAAACGAATAGAATGATTTGGCAACACAGACTTCGAAATGTCACCAAATGAGAAGAAACCATTCCTAAGTGAGGTAGTTGGTATTGGAAGTGCTTCTATCAAGCAGGGGATTAGTAGTTTCACTCAGGGTCATTCAGTTAGAAAGAATGATAATGGAAACTACAGAAGTCCTACACTTCGAAGGTCGTTGACTACAGAAATTGACCATTCTGATAGGTATGATCCAGTTGAATTGCACAATGACACTCAAGGGGTTTCTAAGAATACTTCTAGTGGACCTTGGGGCCAGGATTCGAGAGTATTAAAGGCAGAAACAAGTGTGGAATCTAGATCAAATCATTCAGAGTCTAAAACTCGTGAAGAGAGATTGTTGGAAACCATAGTCACATCTGGTGGTGTACGTCTACAACCTAGTCGAGATGACATTCAGGCTTTTCTTGTGGAGGCTGCAAAGCTTGATGCATTGGCTTTAAGCCATGCCCTTGAATCTAAGCTTCTATCTCCAGTGTGGCAGGTAACTCTTCGCTTCTATGTATTGAATCATTTGATGACAAGGCCACAGAAAGTGGGGGTTACTTAGCTTTACGCAGGTAACCTACCCAACTGATTATCATCTCGACCTCTTGACAATCATGCAATCACACTATTCTGTTCTTATTATGGGATCATGTTTCATATTGGTGATAATTCTGTATTGATATCTTCCAAAATAATGAATGGAACATTTGCTTTTTTAGTTATTTTTTAACCTCGACAAGAATTTTTTTATTGTCAGGTTTGCATGAAAGCTATATGTGTGCTTGAGTCCATTTTGTAATTGTGGCTTCATATTTTACTGAGAATAAGGATATTGTTTTGAGATGTTCTGAGTCTCCCCAAGCCTCTCTCAGAGAAAAGGCCAACAAGGTAATTATGTTAGTCAACCTTTTTTTTACTTTAACCCCGAAAAAGCATCATTCTTTTACAGTTCAAGGACTAATCTAGAATGTTGTTTGTTGGTGCCATGATTGTATGGTTTTGTTCTCTCTCTCTCTCTCGGAGTGTGTTTTGCTAGATCAAGATGTTTTAGGATTGGTTCTTGATCACATTATATTTCAGTTGTTTTTTTATTTCCCTTCATCATAAATGACCATATTCATGATCTTTGTATGTTCAGTGTGCTTAATCCTTACTTTAATTCTCATGACCCTTAATTTTATACGAGTTTGATTAGATATTATGTATTTTGATGCTGATTTATAGCTGGTAAGATACAATTTCCTGCGTGAACGGAATCGATGCAGAAGTTGACGTATATATGTGATATTGTTAAACAGGTGTTGATCCTTTTGAATGGGGAACAGGCAGATTTGGATAGTAATTCGGAAAGGCCTTTAAAGCCTGTGACCAGTTCTGTTCTAATGCCTGACCTGATAGACACTGGTGATCCAGATGATTATGATGGACAAGATGCTTCCTTGAAAGACCCTAATAATCAAAATACTGCAAATCTGACCACCGAACAGAATGATGATGATGATCCTTTTGCAGGTGTCTCATTTCACACTAATGAGGGTAGAGAAAATGTCTCTGGGATGACTATATATGACAAGTCAGTTGTCAATGGTAATCATGTGGCTGCAAATAAAAAATCTGAACTAATTGATGTCTTTGGACCGTTCTGAAACTCCATTCTTTTTTTTTTTTTTACTATATATTTGTTGAAATATGTTTCGATATAATAAATTTAAAGGTAAAATATTTTTGGACTTGAATTGAATTTATTCAAAGTTTTCAAAAGATTTCAAAAATAATTCAAAGTTGATTAAAATTGGATTTTAGCAAGAAAAACCAGATTGTCCAGAGGGAACAGATTCCCCCAGGGGGTATCGATTCCGCGGGAACAGATTTCCCCTAGGGGTATCGATTCCCCGGGTACAGATTCTCTTGTATGGTTTGGCTCCGAGAAATAACAGATTACTCGGAGGGAACCGATTCCCCCTTGAGGGTACCGATCCCCTCACTGTTCATCAGCCCAACGGTCATAATATTTGAATATTATGAAGGGGTATCGATTCCCTATGAAGGGGTATCGATTCCCCCATTCTGGACAGCCTATTTTTACAGAAAAATCATTCCCAAACGGCTCCAAAACATCCCAATGGCTAAATATGACTTCAAACACATTCCAAGCTATAAATACAAGCTAAGGACACTTGAAGAAGTAAGAGAACAACTATTCAAGCAATCAAACACAAGAGAAGAGTTTTTCATTCTTATTTCATCTTTCTCTTGTAAATATTTTGTTCTTGTGAGCTCAATCTTGTAAATACCTACCTTAGAGAGGTTTTCTTGTTTACATCTCTTTTATCCTTTTGTAAAGGGGAAAGGTTCTAGCTTATCCCGTGTAAAAGCTAGGGAAAAGGTTCTAGTTTATCCCGGAAAAACTAGAGAGTTGTAAGGTTACTCTTTGTCCTTAAAAGAAATAACAAATTAGTGAATTTATTGGAAATCCTTGGTGAGGAGCTAAGGTAGTGGATGTAGACTTTGGTTGAGAAAGTCGAACCACTCTAAAATGCTGTGTAATTTTCTATCTTTCAATCTCCTTACTCCCTAAACACAAAACCGTTCCGACCCCTCTTTACAAAACCGTTCCGATTGTCGATTCGAGCTTCCGATAATCCTAACAATATTAAACCCTAAACTTTGAAATACCAACATAAAATCTCAATCACAGTGAATTTTTTATCAATTTTTATAACAGTGGTAAAACTCAAGCAAGAGAAATGAAAATTTGTTTTCTCGTGCATATTCAAATAATACAAAACTGATGTATATATACAACCATGCTAACCAACATGCCTAACAATTAAACTTTCATAACAAACTAAAGCCGTCTCTGACTAACAATAATATTATATATCATAATAATTTTGTATAGATGGATAATAATCAAACCATCAAAACATTTAGACAAAGGCCTTTACAGCACTAAATTACCATAATTAAAGAGGAGAATTAATAATTTATTTATACGACGCAATATATTAACGAGCCATCAAAAGAATGAGAACAACTAGATAATACTTAATTCATCTAAATTCTACTACCACCTAACCCATTATATTTATATATATATTTAAAAAAGAGTAATATTTGTTTAAAGACTCTTAATTATTTCATAATAAATGCTCGTATTCATGTATATGCGATACTTAAACCTGAAACCTCAAAAGATAATACTAATCTCTTAATAACTAATATGTATGGTTTGTACATTTTAAATTTATTAGTTTGGGATTAAAAAGTTATTAAAACTTAAAGCATTTGGCTATAAAGTTATTTACCACACCCAAGACATTTAAAGGGAACAACAAACTTCTTTTTGTTTTTCTATTTTATGAATGGTTGTCTCTTGTTCCCATATGTAATGGGATAAAAGAGAAATAAGATAGTAGGCTGCCCCCAATATTAAGTTGAGATCAGCTTCCGTATGAGACCTCCAAATTATAAAATACCCTCCATAAAATTCGATCTCACGACCTCAAAGTTAAAAACCTTATGTTCTACCGACTGAACTACATGGTCATTTTTATTTTTCTATTTTATGGATTTGTCTAAAAGTTACAGCGCTTTATTTTAAGAATCACGTGCAAGTAAATATGTTAAAATATTTTAACTTGCTCTGGAACCTCACCTGCCCGGAATTCATCAAGACCACGTGATAAAAAATTATATATTATTCTCTCTTTTTTTCCTTCAATATAAAAAATTATATATTATTCTCTCTTTTTTTCCTTCAATCATGCGGCTGTTAACATCGATTCAAATAATTTTAATTAATGTATTGCTTGATAAATTAAAAATAAGATAAAAATTCAGATTTAAATTATAAGTATAATTCATTTAGTATATTATTTAATAATTATAGAATTTAATAAAAATATAATTAAAGGAAATAAAACAAAAATATTGAAGAAAAAAATCAGCATTGAATGATAAATAAGTTTTATTTACTTAACTCTCTTCGCATCTTTTCATTAAATCATTAAAATTATTAACTTCCAATGTATTAAAAAAATCAACAGATTGTCGAACCGACTCTAGGTGATACAAAATCATTATATAAAATAAAACCAAACATTCATTTAATCAAACTGCGTTAAGAAGATCTGATATCTCTAATTAAATATTGGTTTATTATTTGATTTGATAACATATTTAAACAAAATATTTAAACAAAATAATAAGAGATATTGATGAAAAATATAGAATATTAGAATAAAAAAAAATCAAGTCAGAAAGTGAAACACTAACGCACAATTAAATGAGTGGGACTGTCTCTCTAATGATCAATTACTCAACCACAACAAAAACTGGACTAATTATTTCATCACTACGACGCCTGATTCCTCGATCGGTACTGCTTTTTCTCGCCCGGAACTTATTCAATGACGACCAGCGTCTGCTGGCTGGTTTACGCTCAACACGGATGGTGCAGTTCATCATATTTCCTCTCTAGGATCGGCAGGTGGCATCATCCAGAACAAGGATGGAGATTGGATCGTCGGATTTAATAAAGCGGTTGGTATTTCCTCCCCATTACAAGCTGAACTCTGGGAGATTCTTGAAGGACTTCAATTAGCGTGGTCCCAAAGACTCGAGCACCTCCAATGCCAAACGAACTGTGCGGAAGCTCTAACACTTGTGACTTCTTCAACAGCCGCATCCAGCCCAGTGTCTATTGTCAGATCTATCCCGAGCCTTATTTCAAAACAATGGAAGGTTGATTTCATTCTATACGTCGTGAAGCCAACGCTGCAGCAGACTTCCTTGCAAAATCTATCGTTGTTTCAAATGATCAACCATGCATATACATTGAATCTCCCCAGGAGATAATACATCATCTTACTCGAGACCTTCATGGTCCTGCTTTTACTCGCTCCTAGTATTTCATTGTAATAGTCTTCCTTTAATTCAAAAACAAAATGAGTGGGACTGCCAAAAATGTTGGTTGGTCGAGCACAAGTTTAATTAATAATTTAGAAGAAGAAAAAATAATCATTATTTTATATGTAAGTTGTATAGATTTTATTTTACCTAATATATTTACTTTAATTTTAACTCTAAATATTAAAAAAATAATCTTAAATTCTAAAATTTAAACCTTAAATAAAGAATATGACAATACTTTTATTTTTTTAATCAGACTTTTTACAAATGTAAACGATTATATGTTATAATATCTCTAATGTGTTGTGGTGACATCTGATTAAAATCTATATATATATATAAAGGCTGAAATTTGATTTCTAGTTCTTGTAATTGTCCTGTTCATATCGCACTGGATTTACATGTAGCGTTGGCTACTTTAAAATAAATCTTAGATCTTTAAATCTCTATTGCTTTGTTAAGAAAAATGACAGAATTTAAATGAAGACGGACAAAGACCTGTTGCAAGTAAGAGAATATAAGCATTAGATCCCGCAATGAAGAAAGGCGATGATTGAAGTCATGATGGTATGGGTTTGAATAAGAATGGTAAAAGGATAAAGACAGGGTGAAGAAAGTCCCAAAAGGTAACAAAGGTCTTAAAGAGACAAACTCGAATTAGAACGTTGCAGCAAATACGCTTGGATTTGTATTTACGTGTAGTATCCACGACCTTTCACCGTTGCTAAGCTGTGTAGATGTGAGAACTGACCATTCTTCCATTGGTCCCACCACCCAATATAATATATGAAACCCCACACAAATTCGCATATTCTGAAATTTTTCTTGCACTTTGTTCACAAGTTTTTGTCTATCTCAAATAATGGTAGGTTGAGGGGTCACATTGGGAAGGAGACAAGGAGCGTCTTTCTTCTTTTCTTTTTTTTTCTGTCTCACAGTGACCTTTCATTCCCCAATTTTCTCTATATATTCTCCCACTTTTCTGTAGCTTTTAATTGTGTGCCTCGGAGATTCTCAAAAGCAAAGCCGAATGACAAGACCAAACCATTCTTCATCGTCAGAAACTGAGAGTTGCAGCAATGATAACTCGAACACATCTTCTTCTTCTACTTCTACAGAAACTCGCAGCAAAGCTAAAAGACCCAGGGAAGACAGCAAATACCCAGTTTACAGGGGAGTGAGAATGAGGAGTTGGGGCAAATGGGTGTCGGAAATCCGTGAACCCCGCAAGAAATCTCGCATTTGGCTCGGCACTTTCCCCACCGCAGAAATGGCGGCTCGTGCTCACGACGTTGCTGCTTTGGCCATCAAAGGTGAAGCCGCCATTCTTAACTTCCCGGATCTTGTGGACTCGCTTCCTCGACCGGTTTCATTACTGCCCCGTGACATCCGAGCTGCCGCTGTTAAAGCTGCTTCAATGGTCAACTCCAACACCCAATCGTCTTCTTCTTCATCATCGTCGTCTTCGGTATCCGAGTCTTCATCTCCCTCAGAGTCCAATGCCTCTGAAGAACCCGAGGAGCTGAGTGAAATCGTTCAGTTACCCAACATAGATGGGAACTTCGACTCCTTGTTTGACTCGCGGAACGAGTTTACACTCCTTGACTCGGTCGATGGGTGGGTGTATCCACCACTAGATTTCTACGGAGGGTTCTCTGATCAGATATGGGTTACAGAGAACCTAACCGCAAGCAGCTTTGGAACTAGTTCCCTTTGGGAATAATTCTCTACTTTTTCCCACTGCTTTACTTTAAAAGGGTTACTGTAATTCTGAGGGGGGGGGGGGTTATTCCATTTGTTTGCCTATATTTTTGCCAACGGGTCACTTATCACTTTCCATATATTTTGTAATATATCAAATCATACTTAGGTTTTCTCATAATTCTATCAAAAATATATAAATATCTATACCACTTGAAGAAATTGATACTTCCTTTCTTTAATTTAAATGTTTATCAATATCAATTTACAGTTGTTAGTTGTTTTCCATTCGTAGGGTCTTACAAGGCAAGCTTTTTCATATCTGTCGTAACCGTCTTTCGGTTGTGGGCTCCGGAATTGGGCTTCGACTTGAATAACGGGATTGGAGTCGCTACCGATTATTTATTTAAAAATAAATAGGTTAATCGGATACCTTATGTCTTACCTGATCTGCGTCTTACCAAAGATATGTCGGATTCGGGAGTCGGTTACAGCTAAGGAAGGATTAACACCCTTGAACTGCCCTTTCGGTACTATGTAATTTCCAGTTGTCTTTAATTAAGAAAGTTGTAAATTTAAATTAAAATGTAAAATGACAATCCAAATTACTTACCTTAGATTGCTCAAATTGTACCCTTAAAAGATCAAGACATATATTAGATAAGAAATGCAAATAAAACACCTAAGGTAAAATGGAAAACAAATAAGACGAGGAAAATATAGAATATAAAAATAATATATATGATGGTAATAATAATAAAGATATAAACATTGGGAAAAATAAAAAGATATATATAATGGTAATAAATAAAATAAATAAATAAATAAATAAATAGCTATAATCAAATATGTACATACAAAATAAAAAAGGAATAATGAAAATAAAATAAAAAATATAAAGTAGAATAAAATAAAAACGATAATGATGTTAAAAAACACAAAAAAAAATATATATAAATATCAAATATAAAATAAAACAAATGAATAGAAATAAATATACATATAATATAAAAGAAAAAGAGAAAAATGTATGTTTATACGTTATCAATAATACTTAAAATAATAAAAATAACGATGATTATGTATATATATATATGTATATATATAATAAATAATAAAATAAAAATATGCATAAAAATATATATATATATATAAATATATAATAATGAAAATATAGTATATAATAGTAGGGACTAAATTGAAAACGAAATAAACTCAAGGGTCAATTTACAAGGATTTCGGGTTCAATAATCAATTCAGAGGACCAAATTAAAGGTTTTTGAAACTGGAGAACCAAAACGCAAATCTCTCGCTTCTTGCAAAAACACGCGGGTCCGAGGAATTCAACGGGTCGGGCGTAAGGCTGAAACGGGCTTAATATAGGATTCAAAAAGTTTTTTTAGTTTCATTTCTTTCTTCAGAAGTCAAAAAAAAGGCCCCCGTCTCATTCTCTCATTTCTCTATCGCCATTGTTCTTCAGACACGAAGAACATGGACCAGGTTTTCCAGAATCCGGCCTTTGGCCTCCGAGCGCCGCCTCGCCGTCGCCGTTCATCGGCGGCAAAAAAATTCATTCCTTTCAGTTCGAAAGCCCTTTACCCACGCTACTCAAAAATGAAAAAAAATCCAACAAATAACGAGCCTCAGGGAGTAGATCTAGTTTCAAAGTTTTGAAACTCTCCCTTTGTTCATCGGCTGAAAACGTTTTTTCTTTTTTCTGGGTTGTCTTTTGAATCAAAATGCAAGGCCTAGAAATCAGCATGCAAAGGCAAGAAAACGGATGGACAAAGGTAAAAACACTGCTACCTTTTTATTTCTTTTCGAAACGATTACAATAACTCTGATTTGCTTCGTGGATTTTTGAGTACTTTTGTGTCTAAAGCTCTCTGGTATTTATCTTCTGAGAAAAAAAAATCCCCCTTTCTGTGTTGATTACATGCCTTATTTATAGCCTAGGATTTGCTAAGCATTTGAGTCCTATTCTAACTTGGTTGCCTTCGTGGGTTGTTGGTGTTGTCGGACGTTTCGGGATCATTGCGTGTGACCGTGAAACTCGGACATTGGTGATGGTTATTGACCGAGGGATTCGGTCGTGGGATTCCTGGACGTGGACTGCTGACCATGCGATGCTAGGGTGAGATGAAAAACTGCCGAGACATCAGGAACCCTAATCGGCCTTAGGATTTGTTACTGGATTGAACACAAGTGGGCCGTTGTATACTTATTTGGTTCTGTAAAATAAAAAGAAAAGTATAAATATATATATTATTATATAATATATTTATTATATGATATGGTCGAAATCAAACGTCTACAATATCCTTTTCACAAATCCTAATTTTATATGTTATAATATATTTTTTGAAGATTTTGGTCATAATTCAAATGATTAAGTATTTATAATTCTAAATTCTTAATGGTTAAAGGTGTATTATTCTCTCTTATATAAACTTATTCCTTGTAAAAAAATACTAATAATATACAGTTGGCTTATAACGGTACAAAAAGAAAAGTACCGTTGCAGGAATATGAAAATGGATAAAATAAATTGAGGCAGTGACGTGAAAACACCGTTGCATAGGATTTTAAAAAAAAGGAAAGACGGTGACAATCTGATTGTAAATATATACATAATGTCAAATAAATGAGGTAAAACGTTATTTTATAATTGATGTTGACACGCCGACAAAACGGGTGTTTTGTATTTTTATTTTTATTTTGTTACATTATATGTTTAGCGTTTAAAATATTATTTTTATTTTATTTTAGCATTTAAAGTTTATTTTATTTTAAAATTATATTTAAAATCAATGATGATGTGGTATTATTTTAAAGTGACACATCAATATTAGGGTCACTGGAACAAACATCACATGATCTTAAGGTGATATTGACGTGTCATCTTCAATCATTAGGGTGAGTTTACTCTTGTGATCCTACGTGTATGGTCTCATATAACGAGATCGTTGTGGTATCTGGTAATGATGCAATGATGATTATTTTTTAATAATGTTGTCTTTATGACATGTTTTCTTTTATTTTTTTTATATGTTTCATCTATCTTTTGGTAAGTTTTTTGTCAATTGATCGTTATTTTTGTTTATCATTTTTATCATGGTTGGATTTGACATCGCAATCAAAATAGCGCTCGTTTGTTATAATGTTGATATTCTCTACTTTGGACCCTCGGATTAGATTTGGATACGTAATTTGCATTTGTGGATAGTTTTATCACGTCGCTTGATCTTGATTTACGTTTTGTCGGCGGTCTTTCAATAGCTTGATCCTCTTTTGTGGTTCGTTTTGTCGATACGGCCAGATATGTTCGTATCTACCTTTGATTCATTAGGGTGAGTTTACTCTTGTGATCCTACGTGTATGGTCTCACATAACGAGGTCGTTGTGGTATCTGGTAATGATGCAATGATAATTATTTTTTAATAATGTTGTCTTTATGACATGTTTTCTTATATTTTTTTATATGTTTCATCTATCTTTTGGTACGTTTTTTGTCATTTGATCGTTATTTTTGTTTATAATTTTTATCATGGTTGGATTTGACATCGCAATCAAAATAGCGCTCGTTTGTTATAATGTTGATATTCTCTACTTTGGACCCTCGGATTAGATTTGGATACGCAATTTCCATTTGTTGATATTTTTCTCACGTCGTTTGATCTTGATTTACGTTTTGTCGGCGGTCTTTCAATAGCTTGATCCTCTTTTGTGGTTCGTTTTGCCGATGCGGTCAGATATGTTCGTATCTACCTTTTATTCAAGTTTATTTGGTGAAGTTTTTAACTTTTTCTTTACATGGCCATTATGTGATTTTAAGTGTATAGTTTTTGTGTTAATAATTATAGAAAATATTCTTATTATGTGTTTTAGTTTATAATTGTGGTTATAATTTTTTTATTGTAATTAGGATATTTTTTATTTTTAATAAAACTAATCGTTTCTATACTGTGAAAAAAATTATTTTAATATCATATTTTTTGTTAAATTATAATTTAAGATTTAAATTTATAATTTTATGGTTTAATATGACATGCATAATGGATATAAAATTCTGGAATCCGCAGCTGTTAGATAGTGTGTCAAACGTCAAAGAGACAATAGCTCTGAAAATTGGGTTATCTTATGGGAGACATTGAGGCACCTATCAACCAAGAGCCAATGCGTGACAGTGGATTTTTCATTGGGCACACGAAAATGACTCACTCTTCTTATCTGTTAATCGAGAGAATTGGCAAACTAATTTTCCAGTAATTAAATTTAACCAGATCCACCTTATTAAAAAAAATAATTGCAATTACAGATAAATGCTCCTTTAATTTACTCACATATAATGAAAATTACCGACTCTTGGCTGTCATTGTTCTATACTATAAGAAATTGAAGATTGGCGTAGCTCCGCCAAGTCAAAGCTCCTTTATATTAAGCCTTTACAGAGCTGAATACTTCACATTAAAAAAAAAAAAGATTTGTTAAGTATTTTTTTTATGGTGAATAATAAGCATCACTAACATTAATATAAAAATACATATAATGACCATGACTCGTTGACAAAATTAATTTGATCATAATTTAACTCCAACTTACCTTCACTGATTGTAAACGTCTATCAATATACAGTTTAAAATTCCAAATCAAAGATTAATTAAAAGAGAAACATTACAATAGGAAAGAAAGAGAGTGATTAGTTTTTTTGTTGTTGAAGTAATCTTATGTTATTGTAAGAGATTTATTTTTAGAGTTATGTATCATATGTTCCTAAACTATGATCCTCGATTTAAATTGAATCTTAAACTTTTGAACATATCAAATTCATCCCAAACTATAACTCTTATTCTATATCGTTTCCCAACTTTTAAATATTCTAATTTCAACTTTGAAGTTTTGAATGATTTAGTGGGATATTATTGAAATGTTCAAAAGCTTGAGGACTAATTTAGAATAAATGCCATAGTTTGAAGATGAACTTGGAATGTTCAAAAGTTTGAGGATCAATTTAAAATGGGGGTTATAGTTTAGAGATGAAATTAAAATGTTAAACAAATAAAAT